CGGAAAAATTATGTATTGAAGTCAATGGAGAGAGAAAGATTATTTTCGATCCCGTTTGAATTGTGCCACGAATTACACATATGATGTTTGTCAATTTAAAAAAAAAATGTGCAAGTAAAAAAAAAAAAAATGATTTTTTAAAGATTGACAAACAACATATGTGTAATTCATGGCAAAATTCAAACGGGATCAAAAGATAAGTTTTCTCTCTCCANTCTTCAACCTTCCTAAATTTTCCCACACCGCGCCGCTCCTCCGCTCCCTTCACTGGCTTCCAGTAACTGCTAGAATCCACTTCAAGACAATGGTACTTGCGTACCATGCTGCGAATGGATCTGGCCCTTCCTACATCCAGGACATGGTTAAACTGTACACCCCAGCACGTGCACTCCGCTCTGCATCGGCCAAACAGCTCGCTGCGCCCGCACTGCGAGGGGGACCCAAGTTCCCATCAGCAAAAACACGTGGGTTTGCTATCCTGGCTCCATAATGGTGGAATGAGCTCCCCATTGAAATCAGGACAGCAGATAGCTTGCACATCTTCCGGCGCAGACTGAAAACTCATCTCTTTCGACTCCACTTCGAGCGATAGAATTAGTAACAAAGAACTGCTAACAGAGCACTTATATACTAACAAAGGACTGGCTTATCTAAAGCCAGTTGAGTAGCACTTGAAATGTTTTAGCTCTATGAAACCTGACATACTTATATGATTCTGTTTTCTTCAAGGTTGTATCTTCCTGGTCGAATGTACTTATTGTAAGTCGCTTTGGATAAAAGCGTCAGCTAAATGCAATGTAATGTAATGTAATGTAGGGCTATCCTTGACCTTAGAAATTCTTATTCAACTTAAAATACGATAGTTGATCAATTGATAAGTGTCCCCGTAAACAATTTTTTTAACTTTAAACCTGTGTTCACCAGAGAGGTGCTTATACTGTAGATCAACTGAAATAAGTAATTTAGCATGCATTTCCTAATTAACCCAAAATGACTTTAGTCGAAGGCCATTTAATCATGCGTCGGCTATTTAAATGTAAACGAGAAATCAATTTTAAAAACCACCACAACATTATGGCAACTTTACCTTTGCTGTGTCATTACTCCAATCAAATTCAGATTCATAATGACCCAGGAAGAGAATGTCCCCTTTGATTTCTGTGTCTGAGGGGAGAAGAGCAACAGCCGTCAAAGCAATTCTTGTGAAACACAGATAAAAAACATGAAGGTGAGCTCTTACCTTCAAGGTGGTACTGTCTGATGTGCCGACCATGGCAGAACTCATACGTCCACCAGTCCTTCGTCTGCGGCAAAACAAAGACAGCAACGGTTTAATAAACATTGATTAACGGACATATTTTCCTTTTCATTTATAGTACTTGCCCAGTGTCATCTACAGTATAATCGCTAATGCTATAACAATTTGACATACTCAAACAACTTGTACTGGTGTTTACAACATACTTTCTAAACGTCAATCTTTATTACTGATTACAAATGTATATGTCAGGATGGACGAGGACTATTAAGCTACTGTGTGTTTGTGTTGAAATGATAAAGTCAAGTAGTATGTTGAAAATACTTACAAAATACTGTATCCTCTCAATGCAAGCGCACTCGACAGCTATTTTATACCAACAACTGTACTGTTTAAACAATTACAGGCTGTATTAAGTTCCTGTTGTATTGATACATCAGGGTTTCCCAAGGGGGAAGAGTCAGCAGATGCATATAGAGTGGCGAAGTCCCTCCCCTTCCGGGGGAGCTCCATGGGACCTTATTTCGGAAAAATTATGTATTGAAGTCAATGGAGAGAGAAAGATTATTTTCGATCCCGTTTGAATTGTGCCACGAATTACACATATGATGTTTGTCAATTTAAAAGATAATTTTGCAAGTAAAAAAATTAAAATGTGTCGTAAAACTGTGAAGTTACACATTTCTTTGTGTGAAGCGCTCAATGAACTACAACTCTGGTCTTGCACACGTCACCAACACCAAGATGGCCGTCACGTTGGTACATTTCACCTCTTTCTTTCAGAATGAGGCGAAAAGTATTAAAAGAGGTGAAAATCACTACAAGTCTGGGCATGTTGAGAGCTGTACATACGAAAAAGGGGAGTTAGTCGGTTCCGTAAGAGCCAGCATGCGGGACCGGCTTTACAAGGTTTCGGTGAGTAACACGAGTGTAATGTGTAACGTTAATGTCAGCTAGCTAACATTAGCTAACAAGGTACACTCTCGTGTTTTGTTTTAGTTGCTCTTCGAGAACGAGCAAGAGGTACTATTACTGGTATGATAACAACCTGGTACAAAGCACACAGGCATCTTGTTAAAGTAAGTAAGTACAGTAAGTACATTTATTTTTAGCTATCTGGAGGGAATACATCAGTTATGACAGCACTTACGCGACTCTGGGATTTGTAG